TCCTTTCTATTTTCTGTATGTTTATTCAACCGTGCCGACTCTATCTGCAGGGACAGTAAGCTTACAAGACTTCTAAGAGATTCTTTGGGAGGCAAAACAAAAACCTGCATCATTGCCACAATTTCTCCAACTGCTCAGTGCATGGAAGAAACCCTAAGCACACTAGATTATGCCTGTCGTGCCAAGAACATTAAAAACAAACCTGAGGTTTGTTTGGATTATTATTTTTGCCTCCTTTTTTATTTCTCCGAATGTATTTCTTTACAATGAGGATGATGTTGATGAAGCTTATTCTTGCAGGCAAACCAGAAAATGTCGAAGGCTGTGCTGCTCAGGGATTTGTATTCAGAGATTGAAAGAATGAAAGAAGGTTGAATGGCACACTTGGATTGGTGTTTAATTTTATTTTAATCTGTTTAACTTGGATCGCTGTTTAATTTTCTTTAATCTGTTTAAAAACAAATGCAGAGGTTCGGGCAGCACGGGAAAAGAATGGTGTTTATATTCCCCGTGAAAGATTTGTCCAGGAGGAAGCTGAAAAAAAGGTAAATATTGCTTGCCAGCTTTACTGTTTTAGCATGACAATGTTCAAATATATATGAGGACCTCAAACTAGGTGAACGCAAATAGATAATAAATGTTGCCTCTTTTATGCTTTTGTATTTGTACTGATGTAGCTTAATCTGTTTAAAACCTGGAAACCCTGCAGGCCAGGATTGAGAAAATAGAGCAATTGGAAAATGATCTCAACCTCACAGAAAAGGTACATTTTCTTGCTCATTGGTTAATATCTCTGCTATGATATTCATGTCATCAAACTCACTTCTTCTTGCAGCAAGCGGAGAGTTTTCGTGAGCTCTATCTCAGCGAACAAGAACAGAAACTGGATTTACAAAGTGAGCTGAAGGCATGCAAGGTGCATGGACTTAGACTTAGCATTATTGCCGTAGTCTATTCAGTGTATGCATGCATCTTATTAGGAATTCAATTTTGTCTTTCTCAGATAAGTCTGGAAACTAGTAACAAGGCACTGCTTGATCTTCAAGAGAAATACCAGGTAGCAATCACAACCCTGAAAGAGAAGGAGCTTATTATCTCCAAAATGCTATTCTCAGGTAAGAGACAATTGAGATATTGGTGAGAAAATTTGTCTCTCTTTCTTCATATTTGAGTTATTGGTGACAAATGTCTGCTCATATAACAGAAAATCTTTTAATTGGACGTGCAAAGGAGTTACGAACTGATTTGCAGAATGCATCAGAGGAAATAAATTCTCTATATGAAAAATTAGGTAAGATAAAGCATCCCTCATACAGAAAAGTATTGTGTCCTGCATATTTAGTAATTGGTAAAAAAATTAATGGTTATTATTCTATTATTTGTTTACATCTTCTGGCTGGATGTTAAGGCAAGAAAGCTAAAGCGTCCTTTCAAATAGGCAAGGAGAAATATAGAAAAGAATAACAGACAACAAAAGATGATGAAGATGAAGGGAAATGAAAGTGTTTAGACCTAGGCATTATCATATCTAGTGCTTTTTGCTCTCTGCAGATCAGAAAGACAGAATGGAAGCTGAAAATCAGAGCTTGGTTTTAACATTTGGTTCTCAGCTTGATCGGAGTTTGAAAGATCTGCATAAGACCATCCTAGGGTCTGTTTCTCAACAGCAGAACCAACTAAGATGCATGGAGGAACATGTTCACTCATACCTTGCTAGTAAATGTGATGTAAGGGAGATTTTGTTATGTCATGCAATATGCTATGCTTATTGCCTTAGTTTTACTGGTTATCTGTTTGTTAACGCTATTATTATTAACAGGCAGCACAGGTACTGGATTCAAAGATTAAGAAGATAGCAGAGACATACAGTTCTGGAGTATCAGCCTTGAAGGAGCTAGCCAACATGCTGAAAACGAAAGCATCATCTGACCTGGTGCAGATAAATGCTAGGGTGTTATCACAGACAGTGGCCGTTGAGAAGGTAATGGTCTCAGTTTCCCTTACCATTCGTAGAATGCCCTCGATTTAATAGCTGACTGTTGTACAATGTTTGCCTTTGTAGTTTCTTGTAACTGCAGTTATGGAAGCCAATGAGGTCATCCAAGATATCCAGCACTCTCTTGATGAGCAGAAACAGCTGTTGGCTTTCTCCACTCGACAACAAGAAGAGGTAGGTTTGTAGTTTTTATTTTTCATACTTGGTATAATGTGCACTTGAAAAGATTAAAGATTCTTAATATTTGAGTACAACTTCAGGGGTTGCAACGAAGTTTGATTTCCACACAAGTAATTTCAAAGGCCACTGGGAAATTTTTTGATGACCTTCATGACCATGCTTGTCAAGTCATGAGAAGTCTTGAAGAAAGCCAAATCCAACGAGTCCACCAATTAGTGAATTTTGAGAAGATGTTTAAGGTAAGTGCACCCTACAGGAGAATTTCAGAACTAGTATAATAAATGCTGATGAGCTTTTGTTGCCTTGAAAAACAGGAAGAAGCTGCTAAAGAGGAAAAACAGGCTATGGAAAAAATTGCAGTAATATTAGCAACTTTGACATCTAAGAAAGCTTCAATTGTAAGTATTTTCTCTTCTTCTTCCTTTTTTTTTTTTTTTTTTTTTTTCTGTTTATCACTTGAATTAGAATAGTTTGTCGGTATTGTTTAACTGACATTTAGAAAAATAAATATTAGGTGTCAAAGGCATCAACCAACATCCAGGACACAAGTAAACAAGATAATACCAGGTTGCAAAAGGAGATGTTTGACATGCAACAATTGGCAACGGATGCTGGGAAGGAGTTGAGCGAATATTTTGGAAAGGTGGAAAGTAACTTCATGACAGACACATTCTCAGCAGCTGAGTCTCATGCAATCATGGAAAACTGCCTCCAAGAGTGGTAAGTTTATTCATTTTCTTCTCAGATTTTATTTATTTAATCTTTCAAAAGGATCAATATAAACACAGGAATACACATAAACCTGAATTAAATCTAGAGAAGATGCACTTATATCCTCGATTTGTACAAGAAAAGATAGTGCCACAGTATTCTAGCATTGCAGCTGCAGTGGGCTTGTCCCTTATCAATATGTCTCTTCATATAACTTTTTACTTCCCATGGTTATATGCAGCTCAGAGAGAGTGGGCGATTCTAGGAAACAGTGGGAAAAGGCCCAGTCAGCCATAAACACTCTTAATCAGAACTGTGTTGCAAAGATCGAATCTACTGTGAAGTGAGTTTCCATTCCTTGACTCATCAAAACGTCTAGTCTTAGTTTGTTCTACCCTTCTAATGCTCTATTGCAATTTCCTTTCCTTGCTTCAACAGGGAAAATATATCTGCAAACCATTCTGCACATGAAGAGTTTGTTTCCGCATCTTCCCTTGTGGATGCAGATTTCAATGCCATAGCCTCTGACACGTCGTCATGCGTTAATGGTAATTTGAATTTACTTGTGCAATGAAGTAATTCACTCCCATACGATAATCCATTCTTCTAATGCCTAACTGGTGATTTAAAAACATGCAGCTTCACTAATGCTGGACCACGAAAAGACAAAGGAAATAGACTCCATGGCAACCTTGTGCTTGGATCAACTCAAATCAGTGCAAGACAAGCATGGTGAAGGTGTATCAACTATACGAAATGAAGCAGAAAAGTGCCTTGTAAAAGATTATCTGGTATGTATGTTGTCTTTTGAGATGGAAGTATGGAAAATATTATGTTCCTTATAGTATAGGGTCAACTTCATTGCATAAAGCCTAATATCATTGCTGTTTGGTATGGTGATGAACAGGTTGATAAGCATAGTGGTGGAACTAAGAAACGAGTTATAGCTGTCCCCAGCATGGAATCTATTGAGGAGATGAGAAGCTCCATTGAAGTCACAGAAGACTGTATTTCTGACAACAAATCGAAACGCAGCCAAATGGAAAGCAAGACCCCAGGTCCTAGAACTCCTTTTGCAGATGTCAACTGATGTTGCATGATGCTCCATGTCAAAATTTCAAAAGCATGCTCATCAACTGATGAGCTATGAACACTACTAGTCCATCTATTTTCTACTGTTCCCCTCATTTGCTTCTCAGAAGTTAAGAATAATATTGTAATATTTTGTAGTTGCCAACTTGCCATAAATGAAAACAATTACAAGTTTCTCCAACTCCTCTACAATTGTCTCCATTGCCTCTAACTGATCAAATTAAGAATGTTGAAAAACACCAGAAAGATGAAAGCTGCTCAAATTATGCTTGGGAAGAAGTTCTTCAGTGTGTCCCCACACGTTGAGGCATGTTCCTTGCATTTGCTGCTCATAGATAGGTTGGTGGTGCCGTTGGGTGTGAAATCATACTCTGGCATGAAATTCTTTTAATACAAATTTATAAATAAAGACTTTGAAGAAAATCATAGTGAACTGGTTTGAAGAATGAAAACAACTTGATTCTTTGAATTATTCCAGAGGGCAGCCCACAAAGCACAAATGTGAGAACTTTAGGTGCACCAGTAATTCAGTTACCAACTATTTTCTTCGACTTTGTTTGGCAAGACTGGACTATTCATCATCCTTCATGCTGAAGACATTTAGGTGATTCTGTGTGCTTTCCAACAAAAGTGCTTTTTTCTGACTTCAATGTCTGAACAATCTGAAATACCTTGGAAGCTGCAAAGCAGATTCCTTTTTGCAGCTTCCTTCAAACTTCATAGTTCATAGACATAGCCATCACTGATGACTCGCTGCAACAGCTGGTCTTATAACCAAAGACTAGTCAACGCTCATCACGTGTTCGTATATCTAAATCCATTTCGTTTTCTTCATTATAAAAGGAGTGGTCTCCAAGTCAAAGAAAAAAAAAAGGGGTCAAACCCTTGAGTACCCAAAAAGCCATTGAAACGCACTACACTCTTGGGTTTCCTTAACGCGGATTGAGGGCAATACGGTCATTTCCTATCTGACTCCAAACCCCTATAAATAACAGCACAACCGAAGCCTTCTTCCATATCTAAAACTACACTTTGTTTTTGGTTTGTGAGACATTTGACCAGCTTGTACGTTGCTTTTGCTTAGCCATGAAGAGAATGAGAGAAGATGAAGTAGGGTTAGGGATGAAGGGTTTGGACATGGAAAAGTTCCTCATGCTACTCTCATGTGGCATGGAGACCAAGTTCAGAAAGTGTTCATCTCCAAACGATGTGTTTGAGTGCAAAACTTGCAACCGAAAATTCCCATCGTTCCAAGCTCTTGGTGGCCACAGAGCAAGCCACAAGAGGCCGAGAACATCAATGGATCATGATCAACAAAGTGAGACAAGAAAAGGAAGCAATTTGATGGCAACGAAGAACAAGCCGAAAGCCCACGAGTGCTCCATTTGTGGGCTGGAGTTTGGCATGGGACAGGCTTTGGGTGGCCATATGAGGAGGCACAGAGCTTCCAACATGAACCTGGGATTTTCTTCTAAAGTTCCTGATGAGGTTGTTGTCGCTTCGAAGATTCCGGTGCTGAAAAGGTCGAGTAGCAAGAGGATTATGTGCTTAGAGATGGACTTGAACTTGACGCCATTGGAGAATGACTTGAAGTTATTGTTCGGGGAGATGGCTCCAAAAGTTGATGCTTTTGTTTCATAATTTTTTATGTACATGTCACACCATTGTATTCTTTTTATTATTCTTTCGTTAATTTATATCATGTACAAAGTTATTAATTGAATTAATAGATACGATTCTTTTTAATTACTTATTGGGTTCTCATTGGTGATATCGTTTGATGGAGAATTGTATGGAATAAGAAAGGTTCGCTTATGTTGTGCGGAGAAAACTAGTGTTGATCAAAGCAAAAACCACATTCTTTCTTAGCTAGGTTTAATTAATAAATTAAACAATTCTGTTAAAAGAAACCAAAAAATGGGCAACTTGTTCTTCCAACAGCTTGAAAAAGTTTTTTCCAAAGGAAATTTAGGGTAGGAATATGGAACATTTATGCAACTATGTACCTTGGTTAAATTGGAATATTACTTCGGTCCGTTTGGGAGTGCTTTTGAAATGACTAAAAGCGCTTATGACAGTGTTTGCCAAAAAAGTCTAGAAGTACTTCTGGGTTATAGAAGTGCTTTCTGGAAAAGACCTTGTTGTGTGCTTCTTCAGGAAGCACTCCAAAGTACTTTTCCAAGAAGCACTTCTATTTTTTTATGAAAATTTCAACCTTTTTATAATAAAAGCTCTTTTATTAGAAGTGCTTATGAGTATAAATGCTTCATAGAGAAGCAATCCCAAACCAAAGATAGAATTGGACTACTTTGAAACAAAAGAAAAAGAAGTTGAATGGTTTTTAAGAATATGTCTGACGAGGAAGGTTAACTAGTTCTGTAAATTAAGACATATTATCGCATGTATTAAGTTATAGTGGCAAATGACCGCTAGTTTAATGGTTTAGAGCAATTGCTCTCTCCTAAAAAAGTCCTCAAATGGATTGAGAAAACGATAATTATTTTCAACAAATCTAGCAACATAGAGCTGCATTATTTTCATTTTTGAAATGTGAAATACAAGGTCCCTATCAACTGTTTTGTTTCTTCTTTTTTTCTTATTGTATCAATTATAACATATAGCACCTAATCATTATCATTTAATCTACCTTTGGTAGTTGCTAGCAGTTTATGTGTTTGACTCCTCTAGATGTTTCGAGGTTATCATTATTGAAAGTACACTATTAGAAAAAAAGAAAAAAGTAGAATTTATTTTTTTTTAACATAAAGTACGAATATTTGACTGTGTATGTGGGCCAAGTCCTTGTTTGACAAGTTGGTCTAAAAAGAGAGGTACGAGATCCATGAAGCATTCGTGTGCCTTTCATGAAATGCCAAACTTACCCAACATATGGGCTTTCCTTCCACCTTCCTCCTACAGTGAGTCCTACGCGTACCCTCTTAACAATCTAAAACAACATTCTTTCATATGGGCTAAGTTATCTAGAAACAACAACTTTGTTTCGTAGTCCTCTGAAATTCTTTATCATACATAATTAATAATATTCTAGAATGATACTAAAATTATATAGAAATTCTCCTATACAGACGTTCAGACGTTATTATCATGCAGATGTCATGTATCTTCTACTACCTCTCCCTACTTTTCTCCTCATTTACAATAGCATAACGTACGAACATCTGAATGAGAGAATAACTGTAAAATTATATGAATCTTAACATAACACGTTATTTAAATTTACAATCTTGTAACATAAGTATTTATCTAGAGAGGAACAAATTAGAGTAATTCTAAATATAACGTATGGTTTAGATTTACAATCACGTAATTATAAGCATTTATATGGGACAGAACATTCTTATATGCATTAGATTTGGATTTGATTTAGAAGATTTTCCACCTTAATTAAGGAGAATCTTAAGTGCATGATTATTCTTTGCCTTCTTAAGATGACACATTTGGCCAGCTCTGAAGAAAAAGCAAAGTGAATTGATGCACTGAAAAGCCAATGCTTGCCTTTGATTGAATTGAAAGTGAAAGATGTCTTTTCAAATGCTTGTCACAGAGTCTGAAACAGCCAAACTGAATGAACCTTATTTACCTTGTTAATGGAGCATACGAGTTTCTAGGGCTGAACAAGGACACCACCATCATTCACTGGCTAAATTGGGAGAGGGAGAAGAAAGCTGTACGTATGCCCAATCTTTAATCTTTTTCCCAGGCACATCATATCACCCTTTCACATTTATATCCGTCGGTCCAATTTGCTATAAGTTACTGGGTACGTGATTTGAGCTGCCCAAGTGATGTTGCATGCATTGGTGCACTACCATGACGACTCTTACTTTTTCCATTTGCTTTATTTATATATGTACTAATAGTAGTAACAGCATTGAGTGTGCAACAGAGAAAATCTCGGGTGAAATCGGTTGTATACAACTCTATGCGTATGTTTATTATTATAATCATAGAAATAAAAAAGAGATACAGGAACATAGGTATATACAATCAACAACATGAAAATTCTGACCTCTTTTTGGTTTCTATTTGCTTTCAATTTGTGAAGCAGACTCATTATCCTCAAATTATTGCCCCGAGTTTAATTAAAATGTAATTGAGCTTAAAGGATCTCCCATTTGCATAATTATCTCTTGGGATTATGATTAGAACACTCATCATCCGTAGTTAGATATTAGGACCATCTACTCATAATACAAATGTCTAGAAACTTAACATAATAATCAATCATCATGAGATCATGATCGACTAGTGTTCTAATGCACCTTTTTCAAATGGAGAAGAAGGGCAAATCCCACTTACCCATTAGTTTACGAACTTAACAATTCGTTACTTTTTATTTTCTTTCAGCTTTTCCATAAACTAATCCACTTACAACTTTGTGAGTCTAAAGTGATGGAACACTTTGCATGTTTTGCAATTCATATGAAGGAAAGATTTGAAGATGGAATTGATAACCCCTTTTATATATATATATATATATATATAAAAGGGGTTATCAATTCCATCTTCAAATCTTTCCTTCATATGAATTGCAAAACATGCAAAGTGTTCCATCACTTTAGACTCACAAAGTTGTAAGTGGATTAGTTTATGGAAAAGCTGAAAGAAAATAAAAAGTAACGAATTGTTAAGTTCGTAAACTAATGGGTAAGTGGGATTTGCCCTTCTTCTCCATTTGAAAAAGGTGCATTAGAACACTAGTCGATCATGATCTCATGATGATTGATTATTATGTTAAGTTTCTAGACATTTGTATTATGAGTAGATGGTCCTAATATCTAACTACGGATGATGAGTGTTCTAATCATAATCCCAAGAGATAATTATGCAAATGGGAGATCCTTTAAGCTCAATTACATTTTAATTAAACTCGGGGCAATAATTTGAGGATAATGAGTCTGCTTCACAAATTGAAAGCAAATAGAAACCAAAAAGAGGTCAGAATTTTCATGTTGTTGATTGTATATACCTATGTTCCTGTATCTCTTTTTTATTTCTATGATTATAATAATAAACATACGCATAGAGTTGTATACAACCGATTTCACCCGAGATTTTCTCTGTTGCACACTCAATGCTGTTACTACTATTAGTACATATATAAATAAAGCAAATGGAAAAAGTAAGAGTCGTCATGGTAGTGCACCAATGCATGCAACATCACTTGGGCAGCTCAAATCACGTACCCAGTAACTTATAGCAAATTGGACCGACGGATATAAATGTGAAAGGGTGATATGATGTGCCTGGGAAAAAGATTAAAGATTGGGCATACGTACAGCTTTCTTCTCCCTCTCCCAATTTAGCCAGTGAATGATGGTGGTGTCCTTGTTCAGCCCTAGAAACTCGTATGCTCCATTAACAAGGTAAATAAGGTTCATTCAGTTTGGCTGTTTCAGACTCTGTGACAAGCATTTGAAAAGACATCTTTCACTTTCAATTCAATCAAAGGCAAGCATTGGCTTTTCAGTGCATCAATTCACTTTGCTTTTTCTTCAGAGCTGGCCAAATGTGTCATCTTAAGAAGGCAAAGAATAATCATGCACTTAAGATTCTCCTTAATTAAGGTGGAAAATCTTCTAAATCAAATCCAAATCTAATGCATATAAGAATGTTCTGTCCCATATAAATGCTTATAATTACGTGATTGTAAATCTAAACCATACGTTATATTTAGAATTACTCTAATTTGTTCCTCTCTAGATAAATACTTATGTTACAAGATTGTAAATTTAAATAACGTGTTATGTTAAGATTCATATAATTTTACAGTTATTCTCTCATTCAGATGTTCGTACGTTATGCTATTGTAAATGAGGAGAAAAGTAGGGAGAGGTAGTAGAAGATACATGACATCTGCATGATAATAACGTCTGAACGTCTGTATAGGAGAATTTCTATATAATTTTAGTATCATTCTAGAATATTATTAATTATGTATGATAAAGAATTTCAGAGGACTACGAAACAAAGTTGTTGTTTCTAGATAACTTAGCCCATATGAAAGAATGTTGTTTTAGATTGTTAAGAGGGTACGCGTAGGACTCACTGTAGGAGGAAGGTGGAAGGAAAGCCCATATGTTGGGTAAGTTTGGCATTTCATGAAAGGCACACGAATGCTTCATGGATCTCGTACCTCTCTTTTTAGACCAACTTGTCAAACAAGGACTTGGCCCACATACACAGTCAAATATTCGTACTTTATGTTAAAAAAAAATAAATTCTACTTTTTTCTTTTTTTCTAATAGTGTACTTTCAATAATGATAACCTCGAAACATCTAGAGGAGTCAAACACATAAACTGCTAGCAACTACCAAAGGTAGATTAAATGATAATGATTAGGTGCTATATGTTATAATTGATACAATAAGAAAAAAAGAAGAAACAAAACAGTTGATAGGGACCTTGTATTTCACATTTCAAAAATGAAAATAATGCAGCTCTATGTTGCTAGATTTGTTGAAAATAATTATCGTTTTCTCAATCCATTTGAGGACTTTTTTAGGAGAGAGCAATTGCTCTAAACCATTAAACTAGCGGTCATTTGCCACTATAACTTAATACATGCGATAATATGTCTTAATTTACAGAACTAGTTAACCTTCCTCGTCAGACATATTCTTAAAAACCATTCAACTTCTTTTTCTTTTGTTTCAAAGTAGTCCAATTCTATCTTTGGTTTGGGATTGCTTCTCTATGAAGCATTTATACTCATAAGCGCTTCTAA